ATAATGTGGCAGGATACACAATCAACCTTCACATTTTCTTTCTTTCTTTCTTTTTTTCTTTTGGGGTCAGAGTTTTTCTGTGTAGCTCTGGTTGTCCTGGAACTCATAGAGATCCATGTGCCTCCCAAGTACTGGGGTTAAAGGGATGTGCCATGACTCCCAAGTTCAATAGCTTTTTTATACACTAACAAAAACTTATAGAGAAAGATCTCAGACATTCATATTCACAACAGCTTTAAGGAAAATAAAATATCTAGGTATACATAACAAAGCAAGTGATGGCTCTCTAGAATAAAAACTTGAACCCTCTGAAGAAAGATACATTAGAAAATGGAGACAGCTCATGTTCATGAATTCAAAGAATTAGAAAATGACCTTTTTTAAATCATAAACCTATTTATAGATTCAATGGAGTCATAGTCAAATCTCTATCTCATTCTTCATAGACACACACACACACACACACACACACACACACACACACACACACACACACAAACAATCCTGAACAAAAAGAACAATGGTAGAAGGGTTACCCTTCCAGATCTTAATATATATTATAAAGACATAGTAATAAAACCAATATGGTTACCTGCACAAAAACAGAGTCATAGGCCAGTCAAACAAAACTGAAGACCCAGGCAGGCATGGTGACACATGCCTTTTGTACCAGCAGAGGTGTCAGAGCAGGAGAATCTCTGTGAGTTTGAAGTCAGCCTGGTCTGTGTAGTGAGAACCTAACTCAAAGAATAATAATAATTATAAGGAAAATATGCAAAAACTGTATTTGCAGATGACAAAATTCTGTACATGGAGACCCCCAGTTCATAAAGGTTAATAAACTCAGCAATATTTCAGGATATGCAAGATAGACATGTAAGATAATGTCATACTTTTAACAAACTGAAGATCTAAACATGAGTATATATTACTTCTACTACTTAATATTTGAAAGATGTCAAACATATAAGCGAAAGAAAAGAAAGCATATTCAACAAGTGGTGCTGGGAAAACTGGATGTCCTCATGCAGAATGAAATTAGACCCTTATATGTCACCTTGCACAAAAATTAACTCCAAGTGGATCAAAGACGTAAATGTGAAACACAAAACACTGGACCTACTAGAAGAAAACATAGACTACCATACATGATATAAGTGTAAAAAAATAATTCTTGAATAGGACTCCATTTGCCCCAAATTAAGGCCAACAATAGACAAGTGGGACATCATAAAACAAACAAGCTTCTGCATAGAAACAACCAAACAGGTGAAGATGAATCTCATATACTAAGCCAGCTATATATGTGACAGAGGATTACTATCCACAATATATAAAGGACTGAAAAAATAATAAAAAACAAAAACAACACATTCAAAGAATTGGCCTGAACAGAGAGTTCTCAAAAGATCAAAAACAATGGCTAAGAAATATCACAAAAAATGTTCATTGTTCATAGCAATTAGGAAAGTGCAAATCAAAACAACTTCGCAATTTCATCTTAGCCCAGTAGGAATGGCAAAGATTAATGGAACAACTGACAACAAATACTGGATGGGGGTTGAGGAAAATGTAATACTCATTCACTGTTTGTGAGATTGCAAACTGGTACAGCCACTCTGAAAATCAGTGTGGAGAATTCTCAAAGAGCTAAAAGTAAATCTACCACATGAGCCAGCCATAAAACTCCTTGGCATATGTCTAAAGGGCTTAACATCTGACCCTACAGATACTTACTTAGTTGTGTTCATTGTTACCCTGTTCACAATAGCTAGGAAATAAAAATAGCCTAAATGTTCTTCAACTAATAACTGAATGAAGAAAATGTGGTACATATATGCTATGATGGTGCATATATAGTATGGACTACTATTTGAATAGCTATAAGGAAAATTAAAATTATGAACTTGGCAGGTAAATGGATAGAAGGAGAAAATATCGTATTGAGTGAGATAACCCAGACCCTGAAAGACCAATGTCACATATTCTTTTTCTATATTAGGCTCCTAGCTGTGAACCGTCAGATATAAGTACATAGCTTAGAGTAACTAGAAACTAGGAAGGTGAAAAAGGACCACTGCCAGGATATGGGGGGCAGGAGGGGAATGCGTGGGTACAAGTGATCAAATCATGGGAATGGGAAATGGAGGGCTCTGATTAAAGAAGGTGTAAGGAGATAAATACAGAAGAAGAAGAGGAGGGTAACATAGCAGTACAGGGTGGATGAAAACTCATAAGGAATCATACTATTAACAATCTACCTAAAAATCACCTAAAATACTCATCAGTCAGAATATAAATACAGATATATAGTTTAAATGAATTTTTCCCATCTAAGTAGACAATGATCCTTTCAAGAGCCCTTGCCCTCATTTTTATAGTTTCCAGTCAATCAGTTGTCCAAATATATTAAGGTAAATTATTCCTTTTTTTTCAACTTTGGCAACATTACTTAGGTAATTTCAATCTTCAGTACTTTTTGTCAATTTTCATCATGAAATGTGTAATTGCAGGATACTTTTGTGATAATGTTAGATTCACTTGTCACAGACTTTATTGCACCAAGGGGTCACTGTATGATGTAGCTAATTTTGTTATGTATATTAAAGTTCACATTTTGTGAATACAGTTCTATGTGTTCAGACAAATATTCTCTTCTTAGATTTGTTAAGACTCCACTTAGGCCTTAGTTAATTTTTGTGGCCCTACATAGAATTTATGCTGGAAAATACTGCATGTATATTAGAGAAGAATGTGTATTCTGTAGCTGTTGGTTAGAATGTTCTGTAGCTGCCTGTTAAATTCATTTAGCCTAAAATGAAATTTAAGTCCATCTTTTCTTTACTGATTTTACATTCAGATAATTTCTACATCTTTGCAGTTCTTTTCTATTCTTTTACTGAACTCTAGCCCTCCATTCATTATTAAGGTTGTTTCACATATCCAGGTGCTTCAATGTTGAATTCATATATATTTGTAATTTTTATGTGGTCCTTGGAAATTTTTTCTTCTTATAATTGTATTTTCTTGTTTTTAATACACAATGCCACCATGTAGCCCTGGCTAGTCTCTGATATCACAGAGATCTGCCTGTTTCTGCCTCTGAGTACTGGTATTAAAGGCATGGGCAACCATACCCAGTCTATAATGTCATTCTTTTCATAATGTGTCATTTAGTTTTTTACTTAAATACCTTTTTTATCTGACATAATGATCTCTACTCATGAAAAAGTGAATGCCACAAAATGTTTCTTGCACTGAGGAGTAGTGGCCTATATCACAACAGATAACCTAAATTCTTGTTCAATGCATCAGTAAAAGAAGAACATGAGAAAAAAAGACATTCATGTATATTTTTATGTATCTATACAATACAAATGTGTATATATGTATTTTGTGTATATATCATATATATATATATATTCTCATTGTAGAAGGCTGTACTTCAATTCAATATTCTTCCTTATTTTCCTCCCAAGTAGTTCTGAAATTACATCAGTGCTTTGTTAAATGCCCACTCCAATCTTTTTCCTATATTTTGCTTCTTAAAAAGGTATCAGTACTGATATATCATGTTTTGGTGATACTCATGGGAGACCTGGCCTTTCTTTAACAGAAACAGAGGAAGAGTGGAGGGTGGGCAGGGAACAGAATGGTTGGGGGAAGGGACTGGGAGGAGAGGAGCAAGGGAAAATTTCAGCCAGAATGTAAAATAAATATTTATTTATATATTTATATTTACATATGTTTGTACATATACATATGTGTACATAGGTTTATACATATAGTGTTCATGTGTGACCTCTGGTGGATCTACCTCGTTACACAGCTACTATACTGGTTTATATTCCCACCAGAAATATACAAGCACTCCCTTTCACCACAGCTTTGTCAACATTTCTTGTTTGTTGTTTTAGTGTCAGTCATTGTGATATCTGTAAAATAGAATCTCAATAAAAAAAAAAGGTATCAGTGCAATTATTTTGAGATAAATTGAAACATCCATGGATTCTTGTTACATTTTTATTTGTAATGTGTGTGTGTGTGTGTGTAAGTGCATGCGCAGGTGTGTGTGTGTGTGTGTGTGTGTACGTATGTGTTTGTCTGCAGGGAGTGCTGTGAGCACAACTTGTGACAGTAAGGTTCTCTATCTCCGCCATGTGGGTTCAGGGAATAGAATTTAAATTCTCGTCTTAGTAGTGTTTTCACCTGCTGAACCATCTGACTAGCCCTAATTGATTTTTCTTACATCCACTTTAAAAATATTTATGAAATATATATTTAATTTATATATTTATTACATTGTATGTAGGAATTATTTGGGGACTCCTTTGTAATGTTTAGAGACTTTAAATATCTTAATCTAGTCATATTTGAAAGTCAGCAATGAATGTGACATAATCCTCTGTTCTCACAGTGTATTATGCCTTGTAATTAGTGTTGTCGGGACAGACGTGGGAGCTCTGAAGTCATTCTCTTCAGGAGAAACAGAAAAATCAAATGGAAACAGAGACACAGAATGGGGAACAGAGAAATTAAATGGAGGATAGGTGTGATGCTGAACAAGAGGTAGTAAACAGAAAAGAGGAGCTGCACTGAGGAGATCGGGAAGTCATTAAGCAGGGAGGGGGTGGGGCGGGCCGGTAGGGACGGAGACCCCCCTCTGGAGGCGGAAAGAGGCAGGACCACTTCCGGCCAGGCGGGGGGGTAACAAGCTCAGACCTGAGGAGAGGCTTGGAGAGAGCAGACGTGTTCTGGACTCGCGAGGGTGAGGTGAGCTGAGGTGGCTAGCTTTGGTAAAGACCCTGTGGGGGCTTCAAGGCTGCAGCTTCAGGGTGACGGGCTTCATACAACATTAAGGTTTGAAGAAAATCTGCTGGGGTTTGGGATCTAGAGGCTTCGATGTTGTGTTTTTAGTGGTGCCTGGACCCAATTCTCATGGGGGGGGGAGGCGGGGGCGGAATCTCTGGGCTATGGAAAGGTCTGGACTCAGTTTGGGGATGGAAAGACGGGATGCAGACCTGTTTGGGGTTGTGGAAGGGAAACGTTGAGAAAACATTTTGGCTGTAGCAAAAAGGGAGGTGGACCGAGTTCAGGAGGAGGTAAGAGACAGAATTAAGGACTCGGATTAAGCTGAAGAAAGGGGGTTGGACCCCCTTTGGGCTACAGAGAGGATGGATCAGATGAGGACCAAGAAAGGAGCGACGGAATCCTTTTTAAACGGCCAAAGGACTAGGCTTGGAAGGGAAAAAGGGCGGGCTAGGATCCGGTTAGCACTGGTTTGAAAGGGAGGGGGGGTATGACCTAGTAGGGTTAGGGAGCTGGGAATCCAGAAGGGTATCCCTGTTGGATCTGGGGGTGGGGTATCCATGTTGCAGAAAGGGCGGGGCGGGGCCCTTGCAGACGTGGATCGAAATGGGGGGGCAGTGTCGGCGGAGGCGACTGCAGCGCGGGGGGAGGGGGCTTGCGGAGCGGTGGGAGGTGCGGGAGGACTGCGGAACCTTAGCGAGGGTGAGTGGCTGACAGGCAGCGCAACGGCAAAGGAATGGGGGGGGGCTACTGGGGAAGGGGGGGAAGAGGGGGCGGCGAGAAGCAGCCCTGCGGAGCCTGAGCCATTCTGAGGGAAAAGGGTGGACTGAGAGACCGTGTAGTTAGGAGGAGGTGGCGGATGGGAGCTAGATGTTCTGTAGCTCAGAGGGGGAGGGAGACATATGTGGAAATGAGATGATTAGAGATGGTCCTGTGTCCACCAAAGCGCATGCGTACTGAGGACCAGGCTCATTTAGGAAACCTGTGATCGTGCACAACGCATCTTCTCTCTCTCTCTCTCTCTCTCTCTCTCTCTCTCTCTCTCACACACACACACACACTCTCTCTCTCTCTCTCTCTCTTCCTCCCCCTCTCCCCTCCCTCCTTCTCTCTCTCCCTCACTCCCCCCCCTTCTCTCTCTCTCTCTCTCTCTCTCTGTGTGTGTGTGTGTGTGTGTGTGTGTGTGTATTCTGTGCGCATGCGCATTGTCAGGTTGCAGTGTGGTAGAGGGTGTTTAGGTTTAGGTCATAGAACTGATTTGCCATCTTGGAAGTGAAAGATGCTGAAGCTCAGAAACCAGATGCCCTGGGCTTCTAGATAGACAACCCCAAAAAGGTCTGAGGTCCAAAATAAGGTAAATTCTTTCATCCTTCAGAATTCACCCTTCTGATGGATCTCCCTGCTCCCTTATTTTCCTCTAACTCAGCCCTATTTCTTTCAGGCTCATCTGTTAGCCTCTCAAGAAGATGGACAGAAGAAATGACTATGGTTATCGAATGCCCACATTCCAGGTGAGATATGTCTGCATTCTTACTAGGCTATTTGCCCTACCCTGAATTCACTACCACTGTGCAATTCCATAATTCCCTACCTAACCTGACCTTGTATGTGGGTGGAAAGAGGGAATCTTGCCTGACTCTCCTGTCCCCTCCTTGTTTCTGTACCTCCTTTCAATTAAATTGCTCAGGAGGGGAGGTCACTGTAGAGAGGGGTGGTTGTGGGGAAGCTAGATGGCCTATAGGATCATAATCCTAAGTATGTAGGGCCCTCTGCCTCCCCCTGGGAGCCTAGGGCCTCCTTTCTCTTCAGATGTACAGACTGAGACCACAGAGAAGGACAGCGTCCTGCTGATGCATACCCTGTTGTCGGCATCCAAGGACCCACCTATTGCCAGCAGGTCTAAGAAAAGCAAGACCAAGAAGACTTCTGTTAAAGCTATTACTAAGACCACACCCACTCCCCCTCCAGTCCCATCTGCCAATGATGTTGCTAGCAACAAGCCTAAAGTAACTCTGCAGGCTTTAAACCTACCAGTGTTCACCCAGATCAGCCAGGCTTCAAATACTACTGAGGCAGCTAATGTCCAGGCTTCAGTTACTGCTCAGCCCAAGAAAGCCAGGACAAAGAGAGTTACTCCCAAGTTATCCCTGACTGGCACTGAGGATGTCACTACACAGCTCAAGTCACCCTTAAAGGCCCTAAATCTACCAGTTACCTCACCAACTATCCAGTCTCCAATTGCCAATGAATCAGCTAATTCCCTGGCCTTAATAGCTGTCAGCAAGCCCAAGAAAACTTCTAAGGCAAAGAAGGCTGCCAATAAGACCATACCTAGTGCTACAGAGATGTCACTGACTTCGACTGCCACCCACACAGCTACTACCCAAGGTCAAACTGCTAAGGAGACAGCTAGTATCCAGGCCACAGCAGCCACTATCCGAACCAAGAAAACTTCCAAAGCTAAAAGGACAACTGCTAAGACCATAAATACTGACACTGAATATGTAGAGTCCTCAAATGCCCTGGAGGGATCTAGCAGACAGATTGAGGCCTCAACTGTAGGTCTAAGGCCCAAAAAGCCCAAGGGGAAGAAAGTTGCCAACAAAGGCCCCAATTGTGCTTCTGAGCACTCTGAGGCGCAACCTGCCATTCAAATGGTCACAAACCATGCCCTATCAGTCACCGTACGGATCAGGAGAGGGTCTAGGGCTCGAAAGGCTGCCACTAAGACTCGGGTTCAAGAAAGCCAGGCTCAAATCACCGACCAAGGAGCTCAGGCCAAGACGGCTACCTCTCAGGCCAGCATAAGTGCCCTTGAGACTCAGGTTGCTGCTGCTGTACAGGCCTTGGCAGATGACTATCTGGCTCAGTTGAGTTTAGAGCCCACAACCAGAACCCGGGGCAAGAGGAACCGGAAGGTGAGATCTGTGACATTATCCTTAACTTAGTTCTTCTTTCTCCTTCCTATACTAGGTTGTTCATTTGTCTTATGTATCCTGAGTCATTTAACTTCAAGAGTGACCCTGTGTTCATATATGCTATAGGATATGCTATGAAGAATGTGACACAATTTTGTGTTCACTATTAGTTCTCAGATTGGTAGGGAAACATATTTCTGTATTTAGTCAAGATCTATTTGTAACTTTGTATTTACATAATATTTAACCATGTGCCAGATTTTGTGTCATATATATTTACCCAAGTTTTATGTGGATTTCTTGAAAAGAATGCTTACTAACTGGGACCTATTAAGTCCCAGCTTTACAAATAAGAAAACAAAATTCTGGAATGAAGTGACTCACTTAGGACCTGTAGCTAGCAGGATATGGTGGTAGCCAAAGAAACAGGAAAACCCCAAGGCCATGTCCTTGCTTGGCTTGTGTCCTTGGAGGTGAAATAAACTGTTGCCTAGAATCCAGTGATTGGAAAAGCGTGGGAGTCAAGGTAGCCCGAGTTAGGGCCACACTCCTCTGTAAGGGAGTCTAGACCAACTAAATCTACAGAACTTTGTGGAAGAAACAGCAATCTCTTTCATTTGTTAACTCCAGACATTTTTTTCCCCTTTCCATTGATAAAGTCTAAGCATCCTAATGGAGAAGAAAGAACTGGGAGTAATTACAGGCGGATCCCATGGTGCCGGAGGCCTCCACCACCGCGAGATGTGGCCATTTTGCAGGAAAGGGTAAGAATCTAATCTGCTCATGGGTACTTTTCTTCCTCTTCATTCTCTGGCATTCCCCTAAGTGCTTTGCCACTTAATTGATTCCTCCCTAACTGTTCCTCTTTTAGGCAAATAAGTTGGTGAAATACCTGTTGGTTAAGGACCAGACAAAGATTCCCATCAAGCGCTCAGGTACTCTTCTTGAGCTCTCTTCTTCACTACTCTTTCTCCATGGCCTGTGGGTATCTGTTTACTCATCACCTCCTCTCATACTATATCAACTGCCACACTCATATTTCACCATAGCTACCCTGTCCACACAAGGCTGGTAAAAATACCACAATCATCTGGCCTCTGTGCAGTTTAGCATCTTCTGTCTCCCCTTTCTTGTAGACATGCTGAAGGATGTCATCCAAGAATATGATGAGTATTTCCCAGAAATCATTGAACGAGCAAGCTATGCTCTGGAGAAGGTGAAGGGGCAGCCCTGGGGGATGGGTGCACTGGGGAAACCTTAAAAAGAAGAAAGTTATACGAACACCCTCCTGTGGGAAGCACAGAGACCTAATATTCCCATTACTGTGTAGATGAGCGCACCGTGGTGTAGGGAGGGGCAGCCACTGCTCACACAGCAAGCCACTGGAGGAAACACAGCTAGTACTAAAGCTACACAGCTTACTCCTAGCTTCTGTCTGCTGCCGGATACACTGTCTCGTGGATTGCAGATGCTCACTGGTCACAAAGAAGCTATCTTATGTTTGTTACATGTTTAATGTGTACTTGGTACTGAACTATATGTTTTATATGCATTTCCTCTCACACACAAAACCCTTGCTTTTCTGCAGAATTCCCAACGTGCTAGTTGATACCCAAGATATATTTTGTGATCTCACAGGCTATTCTTTTACTTGGCAGATGTTTCGAGTCAATCTGAAGGAAATTGATAAGCAAAGTAGCTTGTATATTCTTATCAGCACTCAGGAGTCTTCTGCAGGCATTCTGGGAACGTAAGCTGGGGAAGTACTAGGGTGGGAAGGGGCTTCTTGCTTCCTCTTAGAAGCTCAAGAAAGAGGGTCTAAATGCCTCGCCTATGTCCCAGCTCTCACACATGGCTGGATCCCCGAGAGCAGTAGTGGTGCCAGATTACGGCTGACAGAAGGGTTTGAGAGCCTGGAGTGGGGCATTCCTGCTGTCAGGTTTGCTTTCTCTAACAAGTTCTCAGGAAATTGGACTGTCGTCACTTGACTCTTCTACTGAGTGCCTGGCCTGGCTGTGGAAGGGTGGCTTTTAAAGGAGGGAGGGATTTCTGGTGTGGACTATGATGCTTGAGAGCAGGAGTGTCACTAGGGTTCCATCTACAACTTCTTGGGGCCAGGGGACTTTGGGAGAGAAAGAATCTAGGAGAGGCTGGTCTATTGAGCTGTGCTTTATAGATGATGGCTCATGAACATAAACTTTCTCTGCCTTAGGACCAAGGACACACCTAAGCTGGGTCTCCTCATGGTGATTCTGAGTGTCATTTTCATGAACGGCAACAAGGCCAGTGAGGGTGAGTGGCTGGGCATGCAGTTGAATAGGTAGCTGTTGTCTGAATTCCAGGTACTCATTTTCTGTCCTTGTCTCCTTCTTGTCTCCTCTTGCAGCGGTCATCTGGGAGGTGCTGCGCAAGTTGGGGCTGCGCCCTGGGTATGATTGGGCTCTCTCAGAATTTGCTGTACGTGTTGTCTTTTGGCAAGAGAGGACGGTCCCAGGATTGCATCAGCCTGGTGGTCTGATGGAGCATGTATGGGGCGGGGATGGGGGATTTCTTACCTGGATGAATGGCAATGGTTCTGAACTCTGCTTCTTTTTTCCTTTATGTCTTCTGTCTGTTCTGAGATGAGGTGTAAGGTGGACCTTCAGGCATCCCTGACAAAGAGCCATCTGGCCTCCACTGTTTACTTCTAGTAGCCATTTGCTCACTACTATCTTCACTTCGTTGAGACTGCCTCATTGGCTATAGATTCTGTTCCATGTTGAGAAATACCTCTGCTTCATCTGGGTATTTCTGGTCTGTATTCACTGATTATTTTTTTTTCTTTGCTAGGGTTAGACATTCACTTTTTGGAGAAGTGAGAAAACTCATCACAGATGAATTCGTGAAGCAGAAGTAAGTAGTCTTCAAGGCTTTGTGTACCTGTGAACTGCTCTGGGTGTGGTGATCTGGTTCAAAAAGCTACTTAGTGCCTTTCTTACACTCTTTATGGACAGATGGACTCCTGTGACCTAGACCAAGTCCTATCTAAAATTCTTGTGGCTCAGCCCAATTGGAACCATTGCAATGGGGTATACTCAGAGAAGGGGCCCCCAAAATAGCCAGTCTTATTAACAGCACATACAAAAAGAGTCTGTGGTTAGTCTTCATAGGAGACAAAACACATCTGTGTTCTGTGGCATAGTGTCCTGTTTATGTATCTTCATGGCTTTGCATGGAAACATGTTTCCATGGGAATGAGTCTGGGTCTGAAGGGCATGGAAAATTTTTCTCCAGGTGTTTTAGAGGAAATTGCTTTCACCTGAGGCCTAGTGGTTAAACAATAGTTTTGCCTGTTTAGAAGCAGGTTTCATTTTCTTTCTCCAAGGTATCTGGAATACAAGAGGGTCCCCAACAGCAGACCACCTGAATATGAATTCTTCTGGGGCCTGCGATCTTACCATGAAACTAGCAAGATGAAAGTCCTGAAATTTGCATGCAAGGTAATGAACTTCCTGATCTTGGCACCTTAAGCTCCAGGCTGAGGCAGGCTGTGTACAGTGGTAGACAGGTATGGAACAACATATGGTTTGTATATAAATATATAAAGCCTCATTAATGTCCCAGATATATACTGCAAGATAGATATTTTTCCTTGTCTACTTATTTTTTACATTTTATCAGTCAGTTCAGGCTGCCATCATAACATATTATTAATAACTGGATGGCCTAAGATATATAAATTGATCCACTCATAATTATGGAAATAAAATCCCTAGATCACCACCTAGTACAGTCATTTTCTGGTTTAGGCTCTTTCTGACTTACAATTGCTAACTTTTCTGCATCTTCATATAGCATAGAGCAAACCTGAGTTCATTTTCATGTCTTTTCTAATAAGGGCATTAATCCTATTTGATCAAGGCCTCACTCATTTCACTTAAGTTATACACATAAAGACCCTGTCTGCAAATAGTCTTGATTAGGAGTTGGGTTTTCAACATAAGAATTGTGGGGAAATACACTCAGTCCAAAACATACTTAGTTTCTTATCAATTCCCATATTACAAATGGGGATATTTGGGCTCAGTGATATAAAGCAACTTGTCTAAGTACATAACTTGTATGCGAAAGTTATCAGAGCTGAAGTTCGATATCAAGACTGAGTCATTAGAACTCCAGATTTTTTTTTTAATATTCTGCTATTAGTTTTCTGTGGATCCCATAATGGGTGCTTCACATATAATTAAAAGGACTACTTTTCTTATAACAATTATAATTTCCATTTTAGGTACAGAAGAAAGATCCTAAAGACTGGGCTGCTCAGTACCGGGAGGCAGTAGAGATGGATGTTCAGGCTGCAGCTGTGGCTGTGGCTGAGGCTGAGGCCAGGGCTGAGGCAAGAGCCCAAATGGGGATTGGAGAGGAAGCTGTGGCTGGGCCCTGGAATTGGGATGACATGGATATTGACTGTTTGACAAGGGAAGAGTTGGGTGATGATGCTCAGGCCTGGAACAGATTTTCCTTTGAAATTGATTCCAGAGCCCAAGAAAATGCAGATTCCACCAACAATCTCAACTTCAACCAAGGAGCTAGTACTAGAAATAGCTTCAGTGATGGCACCAATATTAGCTTTGGTGGTATAAGCAACCCCAGTGGTGGCTTTGGTGGCATACCCAACTCCAATGGTGGCTTTGGTGGCATACCCAATGCCAATGGTGGCTTTGGTGGCAGAAATGGCATTACCTTTGGTAGTGCACCCAACACCTCTGCCAACTTCAGCAGTGCAGCGAGTATTAGCTTCGGTGACACATCCAACACTAGCACTAGTTTCAGTGGTGGAGCCAGCATTAGCTTCAGTGGCACACCCAATACTAGTGGCACTTTCTGCAATACAGCCAGCATTAGCTTTGGCAGTGCATCCAGCACCAGCACTAGTTTCAGCAGTGGAGCCAGCATTAGCTTTGGCGGTGCACCCAACACCAGCACTAGTTTCAGCAGCACAGCCACCATTAGCTTTGGTGGTGCACCCAGCACGAACACTAGTTTCAGCAGCACAGCCAGCATTAGCTTTGGCGGTGCACCCAGCATTAGCAGTACTTTCAGTGGTGGGTCCAGCATTAGCTTTGGTGGTTCTCCTACCACCAGTACCAGTTTCAGTGGTGGAGCCAGTATTAGTTTTGGTGGTTCACCTTGTACCAGTGCCAGTTTCAATGGTGGAGCCAGCTGTGGCTTTGGAGGCACACTTAGCAGTAGCACAGCTGGCTTTAGTGGCGCACTCAGCTCAAGCACCAGTTTTGGCAGTGCACCTACCACGAGCACTGTCTTCAGTGGTGCAGTTAGCACCACCACTGGCTTTGGGGGCACTCTTAGCACCAGTGTCTGCTTTGGTAGCTCACCCTGCTCTGGTGCTGGCTTTGGAGGCACACTCAGTACCAGTATCTGCTTTGGTGGATCTCCTAGCACCAATACTGGTTTTGGTGGTACACTCAGCACCAGTGTTTCCTTTGGTGCTTCTTCTAGCACCAGCTCTGACTTCGGTGGCACACTAAGCACTAGTGTCAGCTTTGGTGGCTCTTCAGGCACCAGTGCAGGCTTTGGCAGTACACTCAACAGCAGTACCGGCTTTGGTGGTGCCATTAGCACCAGCGCTGGCTTTGGCAATGCACTCAACAGCAGTGCCAGCTTTGGCGGTGCCATAAGTACTGGCTTTGGTGGTGCACTCAATAGCAGTGCTAGCTTTGGCGGTGCCATAAACACCAGCACCGGCTTTGGCAATTCACTGAACAGCAGTGCCAGCTTTGGTGGTGCCATCAGCACCAGTTCTGGCTTCGGTAGTGCACTCAGCACCAGTGCCAGCTTTGGTGGTGCACTCAATGGCAGTGCTGGCTTTGGCGGTGCCATCAGCACCAGTGCCAGCTTTGGTAATGCACTCAATGGCAGTGCTGGCTTTGGCGGTGCCATCAGCACCAGTGCCAGCTTTGGTAATGCACTCAATGGCAGTGCTGGCTTTGGCGGTGCCATAAGCACCAGTGCCAGCTTTGGTGGTGCACTCAATGGCAGTACTGGCTTTGGCGGTGCCATAAGCACCAGTGCCAGCTTTGGTGGTGCACTCAATGGCAGTGCTGGCTTTGGCGGTGCCATCAGCACCAGTGCCAGCTTTGACGGTGCACTTAATAGCGCTGGCTTCAGTGGTGCCATCAGCACCAGTGCCGGCTTCGGTAATGCACTCAGTAACAGTGCTGGCTTTGGCGGTGCCATCAGCACCAGTGCCAGCTTTGGCGGTGCACTCAGCACCAACCCCGACTTTGGTGGTGCATTCAGTACCAGTGTTGGCTTCGGTGGGGCACTTAGTACCACTGACTTTGGCAGTACCCACAGCAACAGCATTAGCTTTGGCAGTGCTCCCACTACCAGTGTTAGCTTTGGTAGTTCTCACAGCACTAACCTCTGTTTTGGTGGAGCACCCAGCAACAGTCTCTGTTTTGGCAGTGCGTCTAACACCAACCTATGCTTTGGAGGCTCTTCTAGCACCAACTCCTGCTTTAGTGGTGCTTCCAGTGCCAATTACAGTGAGGGGCACAGCACCAGTTCCATTTTCAGCTTTGGGAATGGGCTAAGTACAAGTGCTGGCTTTGGAAATGGATTGGGCACCAGTGCTGGCTTTGGCAGCAGCCTAGGTACCAGCACTGGCTTTGGAGGAAGCTTAGGCCCCAGTGCTAGCTTCAATGGTGGCCTGGGCAGCAGCAATGGCTTTGGTGGTGGAGTAAATCCTAATGCTGACTTTGGTGGGGGACTGGGTACCAGTGCTGGCTTCAATGGTGGACTAAACACTAGCACTGATTTTGGTGGTGGACTGGGCACTAGCACTGGCTTTGGCGATGGACTGGGCAGCAGCACTGGCTTTGGTGGTGGACTGGTCACTAATGATGGCTTTGCTGGTGACCTGAATACCAATACTGGTTTTGGCGGCACACTTGGCACTGGTGCAGGCTTTGGTGTAAGCCTCGGCACTGGCGATGGCTTTGGCAGTGGGTCTAATGCCAGCTTCGACAGAGGACTGAATACCATCATTGGCTTTGGCAGTGATTCCAACACCAGCAGTGGCTTTACTGGTGAACCCAGCACCGGCTCCAGCTTCAGTAATGGACCCAGTTCTATTGTTGGCTTTAGTGGTGGACCAAGCACTGGTGCTGGCTTCTGCAGTGGACCAAGCACTGGTAGCTTTGGTGGTGGACCAAGCACAGGAGCTGGCTTTGGCGGACCGAGCACTGGAGGTGGCTTCGGAGGACCAAGCACTGCAGCTGGCTTTGGTGGTGGACTGAGCAGCAGTGCTGGCTTTGGTGGTGGACTGAACACCAGTACTGGATTCAGCGGTGGACCAAGCACCGGTACTGGTTTTGGTGGTGGAGCCACTAACCTCGGTCCCTGTGGCTTCTCTTACGGCTAATGAAGTTTCAGGTAACTGCAATATTTCCATAGCCAGGATCCATGGGGAATAGCTATGAGAGTTGGGAGATATTAGAAGAAACCATAAGATAGGAGGGTCAAGTGAGAAGATGAAGGCAAGATGGGAAATATGAGGAAATAGGCTTGGTGCTAACCTATTTTTTTTTTTTTTGGTATTTTGCTTTGTTTTTCAGGTTTGTTGCCCATGTTTACAGATAATGCTAATGCAGCAGTAATTCCCATGGAGCCAATGTGCAGCTTTGGAATCGTTGTCCACACAGCAGCCTAAGCAGCTACTACCCATTAGCTGAGTGAAACACTATGAAAATTCTGCTGTTCCTGCTTTGTGTTTGCTTCCCGTGTTGTTGTCATATTTTGGTATCAGAGTTACATTAAATTTGCCAAAGGAATCTGAGTTTATTCCATCTTTTAATATGGTGGTGTTTGGGGTTTGTAGAACTAGAATTCAGCTTAGCTTTTTGCGGTCTATGCGGCTTCAGCTCAAAGATAGGTATTTCTCAGAGTCAGAGAGCTCTGGGAAAGTGTGGCAGGCCAAGAGATAATAGCTTGAGGAAAGATATGGAAGGGGAAAGCCTAAGATAGATTGCAAACAGAAATAACTATGGATAGTAATTTCACACTAATTTGGGGTAGCTGTGTAAGAATAGAGGGATAAGGGAAGGAACTAGGAGTTGACATGGGAGCAAGAGGACAATCTCTTGGGACAGGAAAGAAAAATAAGTATAGACTGTAGGACCAAAGGCAATTGAGAAGCAAAGGATTGATATGAAAGTCAAGAATTGACTGAAGTAGTATGAGACAGTGGAAAGGGACAGTGCCAGAAAATACATGGCAACCTTGACTTTGAACAGGGTTCATGGGTATCTGTAGAAGTGGATAAATAGATATTCCAAGTACTGATCTACAACCCTAGTGGATCCCAGTTTTAAAAAGGTGTGGATGATTCAAGGCTTGGATTTTACTGGGTGGTTGTGATGAAAGGACTAGGGAACAAAGGCAGCAAGGTTATGAGGTTGTTTATCACATGAACTCTAGTACCTGAATCATAATGGTTAGTGTATGGAAAGCAGCTGGAGAGGTAGGTTCAAGTTGGTTAGGGACAGAAGAATAATGAGAGACTAATGAACTAGGGGGCAGCGGGGGGGGGGGAGGCTCAAAAGGAATATGTGGATTAATAAGGGCAGATATTGTTCATTTAAGAAATACTACATGTATGCCTGTGGTATCAGGGCATACTGCTGATGTCTTAAGTATGATTAAATTTTATAGGCTCGAATGAACAGGAAGCTTCCAGTCAATAAGTTAGCTCAGTGAGTGGATGCCACAAATGAAAACAGATAATCACTGAAGTTGAGAGCATCACATCCCTGGGAGGGAGGGTGTTGACGACATCATTAACATAGGCAATGAAATTACTCAGGACAGTAGCAAGAGTTGGAGCAGACCAAAGCCCAAGTACTGGATTCTTTGAGTATAATGTCCCCATGTACCTTGAGTACCAAGGAACAAAACCAACAGGAACTCACAAGGACCTATCTTTTCCATCTTCAAGAATGCTACCCCAGGACTCTTCAATCTCAGACATCCTCACCCATTCTTCACCAACAGCACCAGAGTTGGGTTTGAATCAAGATATTGAAAACACTGAGAGATGCCTTATAGCTTCTCCTTGTCCTATAGGCAGGAATATATATCTTTATTCATCAGAAAATAGTTATTTAAAAGAACTTTATAGATTGGCTAGGAATTGGGACCTGTTTGGAAGCTGCTACAGACTTCTTCACTGGAGGTAGGGCACTCTCAGGCTAAAGCCAGAGTCTGCTTAGGGAGAACAAGGGCAGCAGTTCCTACAGGAGGAAGGCAGTAAGGACAGAGGCACTCTGATCACTTGGAAAGGGCTCAGTAATGGGCAGGGACAGTGTCCAGGGCTTCCTCAGGTTCACGGGTGATGTCCACATTCTGAAGAGAGAGCCCAGGGTTAGTAGGCAGTATAGGGTCCCAATCCCAGCCCTGCCTCCTGTCTTCACTGCTAGGCATCCCTCTTTCAACAGGGCATGGGTCCTGGTCCTCTTCTTAGGCACTCCTGGGCAATCAGGCTGAAGCCTGTTTAACAGGAATTGTAACAGCCCTTAGTGTCTATGGGATTGGAATAGGGTCTTGCCATTTCTGAATACTAGTTGATTTGAAACACCTGGGATGATCTGGGGCTAGAGACAGCCTTTCCATGTGAGTGTACTTTCAGAGTGTATCTTGTTAATGGCCAGCTTGGGTACTGAGCACCCCACCTACCTCAGGCTTGTCCCGGTGTGTGTTCACAGCCTCTACATTCAGGTAGATAGATTCCACTCTGCAGCCTCAGAAAAGAACAACTCATTTGACCATAAATACTCAGGATAAGCCCAAGTCTTTCCTAAGGTATTAGTTTCCCCTTTCCCATCATCACCGCACATATCCCAGGTCCATGCTCTCTAGATCAGCAGTTCTCAACCTATGGGTCATGACACTGGGGGGCTGCAAATCAGTATGCTGCATATCAGGTATTTACATTATGATTCATAACAGTAGCAAAATTACAGTTATGAAGTAACAATGAAAGTAAATTTATGGTTGGGGGTTAGCACAACATGAGTGACCTAAAGAAGACTGGCCTGAGGTTTACAGAGGAGATCTGCTGTTCAATCTAGCCCCTTTAGTACCATTCCTGCAGACTATCCTGTCACAGGTTACAGTTGGTTCTTTTATCCTGTTCATAACCTAGACTACATTTTATTCTATCCCTTCTCTGCTTATGAACCTTTCACAAACAACTAATGCCTCCATTCTTCAGTGTCTCCAACCTATACTTTTCCTGAGGTATCTGTTGTGGCCTCCTCTGCCTCAACACAAACAGAACAATGTTCTGTACTCAGTGCCCAGGCAGAGACAGAAAGAGCCAGGGTCCAGATTTGGATGTTAGCCTACTTCTTCCCTGTTATCCTACTGTTACCAGCTGTACCTTTACCAGGATAGACCACCAGCCACCCAGGGAACCTTACCTAGGGTCTTCTAGAGCAAACAGTAGACATTGGAGACATACCCTGGCTTCTAATTGCCTTTCCTTACATGAGAGTAGGCATACTTACCATAAGCCACAGGTGTGAGTTTGAGCACTGTGTGCAGAGGACACTTGAGATAGGGCAGCTCATCTGGAAAGGAGGAAGAAGCAACCCTGAGATGCAGTATTGAGCAGAGGATCACAACCAGGCTGTTGGATGTTCCTACTTCTACCTTTGCTTCCTATTTGGGTCCCAGTACACACTTAGCTGGTATTCTATATAGTGGGTAGTCACTCAAGCAAGCTAAGATGGGTAAAATAGAGAAACCAAGCTGCCTAGAAATGGGAGAGAGAGCCTTGGGAAAGGTGGACAGAATATGAGTCTCATAGGAGGGCTAGGTACCCACTTAGGGGTGTCAATTCTTTACTCAGAATTAGCAGGAGATGAAAGCAAGCTTCCCTCCTGCCCCAGGCCAACTTTCCACAGACTCCTTATAAATAAGGGTCCACAACTCTGAAACCGTCCTAAGTACTACTACAAAGGCAGAGGCATATGTGGCCTTTGACTACTCCTACAGTCTTTCCTCCATTCAAACAGTAACCTCCCCACCCTATCTGTCTCCTTGTCTTTTGGTATCTGTCTGTCTCTCCTCTTTCTCTCTCCCCGTGTGTGTGTGTGTGTGCGTGTGTGTGTGTGTGCGTGTGTGTGTGTGTGTGTGTGTGTTTGTATGTGTGAGTACACACATGCGCACTTGTGTTTTATTCATACTACAACTTGTTTATAGAGAACTGATCGATTCACTGGTTTCCTGTTATTAACGATTATACAGAAAGTGACTCTGAATATTTATGTACAATTTCCTTTCAAGACCAGTGTTTCTACTTTTCAGATAGACAGAAAGGATCATGCTTACTCCATAGAAAGGAAATGGGCTTCAAGGGGAAATGCACCATGGCTAGGAAGTGACAGTTTGGGGCCTCCAACTTAGGGTACTCTGAAGACAAGATGCCTACTCTGCTCTTGCAGATTGTAGCTGCTGCCGTGGAGGGAATCACAGAGTACTGGGGATACACACTTTTTTTTAGACACTTTATCTTGATATCTACCTCACCACTCTCCAGGCTACATGCCCTTACTTCCCTCATTTAACTGGAAAACCATCACTTGTAATGACTTCTTGTACCTTGTGCAACTTGTAGGCTTTGAAGGCATGCCACCATCCTACAAACCTCCTGATATATCAAGATGGGGGCATTTTCCTCGAAATTCATTCCATTTTTCCTCACTGTCAATCATTATAATTAAATTCTGGGCCAATGACTTCTTTGTCTGTGATCCCACTATACCCAAACTGGTGCTCTGGGTCCTGTCCACTGTTACTTTCCATATGAAGAAACAGGTTTGGAGAACAGAAGTAACTTACTTAGTCTCTGATCCAGCTTTGTCACGGTCTCCTCCCTCTCTGGCCCTCAATATCCCCATTTTACAGAACAAGATTAGATTAGGTACAATCTGAAGGTGCCCTAGCCCTGTAGGTCTGTGGGTATACATTCTAACTTATATAATTATCTCTAGGCATCCTTTCATCACTCTCCGGAATAAGAAGGGTAAAATTATCTGTTAAGCCCTGTGAAACCTTGCTCCTGGGGCCAAGTTGTAAACAGTTAGAATGGTCTAAGAAATGAAGACTTTAGGAAGTAAGTACACGGCTCCTGTATATATTTGAGAGAACAGAGCGTCCAACAGGGCCTCATCTTAACTTGGGCAAGTCATTTCATTGCTCTAAGCCTTGGTTTTCTCATCTGAGCAATGGGAATAGTGACAGGCTCAGTTTCAAAAAATGCTCTGGAAAGCAGAATTCTAAGACTGAGAGGATCTCCATCACACAGTCCATCACCTATTTCAAGTGAGGACATTTTCAAGTGTACTAAAAACCAGGTAGAGAATATGACTTATATAATGTCAAGTTCTCAAGTTCCCTGGATTCCAATCTTGAATTATTCCATATTTTATATATTCTTTATTTTAAAAGTACTATAACAGAATTGGCTCATGAGTTTGGGACATTATAAGGATTAAATAGCATTTATCATTGCTCCCAAACACCTTCAAAATATACTGGAAATGCCAACATTTCATCATCCACATTAGAAATGGACTGTCATATGAAGGTGGTGCCAGGTCACCTGAGAAGAAGATATAGTATATGTATACTTTGTATACATGTATATGGCAGTACATCAAGTCTGTATACATATGTATGGCAGCATATATAGTGTGTGTGTGAATATATATATATGTATATATATACATATATATACATATCAGTATATGAAGTCTCTATGTGTGTGTGT